CTCCCTCTCTCCCTCTCTCTCTCGCGCCAGCTTATCACGCTGACCCTTCTGCCATGTTCGCCCGTGTCTTACGCGTGCGTCCAATTAAACGAGGCGCCTTCGTGTAAGTTTTGATTTTAATTACCTGCGGGCGGCCGCCACATGGCGAGTGCGCGCCGCGCCCACCGGGGTATAAAGTCTGGAGGAAAAGACCGAGGGAGTGCACTTGCACTCTGGAGACACCGTCCAGGTGGAATTTTAGGGAAGAGGCCAGGATTCTGTAGTGCTGCACGCTAGCACACAGCTAGCAGTGTCCGTCTAGGACTCCATTCTGCAACCTGACGAAATAAAAAAGTCCATCGCGCCGACTGTGGAGGAGAACAAAAGAGCTGTTTCACACACTTACTTACCCGCACTGCTGGAATATCGAACACCTTGCGCCACGTTTCGATACTGTCTCGAGCTCTCGCTAGTGCGGGCCCGGGCCCGGGCCGCAGGGCGGGTTATTAGCCCGAGCGTAGCCTGCTCGTGAACGAGGTGGAGGTCAATGCAGTGTGTCACGGCTTGCTTCACGGCAAGCGCAGCCGAGGGGCCCCCGCGCAGGCGCAGTCCCGGTCCCGCGCACTTAGCAGCGAGCTGTCTGCTTGTGCGGGTGAAAAATGTGGCGGGGCGTGGCGGAGGGTGCACTGACTTGACGAGGCTCGGATAACGCTTGGTTGTATGTTGTATGTAGTACCTTTCCTTATTTTGTTTTTACCCCCTTCTCCCTTTCCCCCCCGCTCCATCCGCTTCGCTTTGGTTCGCCGGGTCAAAGTGTTGCCCTCTCTCCCTCTCCCGCTGCGCCGGCTGCGCCGCGCCATGCCCCGCCCGTGGGAGGGATAAGGTTACCGGGGGAAGCCCCCCTTCGGTGACCCCGCGCGCGCTCTGCTTGCTCTTGCTCCCCTCCGGAAACACCATCATCTTGGCCTCGCCCACACCCGCCATACCGCTGACAGTGATTTTATTGTTACAAAAATAAAAATACTCGCAGCACATGACGCGGTTGTCATGCTTGTGAGGAGAGTTTGCCTTGCCAGCAGAGCCAGACGCTTTACTCGCTTAAATAACTGCCGACGCAATGTGACGCCCCGCTCCGCCCCGCGGCACGCGACGACGCGACGCTCCGCGTCCGCCAGTCGAGCGCACCCAGGCGGCCCGCCCCAGCCAGACCTCGCTGCAAAACGGAAGTGTGGTGGAAAGTAGTTGCTGACCCGCGCGATAGACGCGGCCTTCGCCCGGCCCTAATGAGTACTTTTAAATTCCCCGCCTTGGGATGGACGACGACTGACGACTGCTCCGGGGAGGGCTCGAGCAAGCGCAGTCTCCTGTGACGGTAGAAACACGCGTGTGTCCTTCCTTTTCCTCCGCCTAACAAAAATGGGACTATGGAATCGCAGACGGACAAATGCTTCATCGCACTTTTGGACCCCCCTATCGCAGAGATGGTCGTTTTCGTTCGCGGTCTGGTCCAGCGGTAGAGGCGTGCTGCTCCTCGACTCTTCGCCGTCCTCTGCTCCGCTCCTGGTCCCCTGCTCCGCTCCGCTCTGACACCTGCAGCTCCTAATTAGCAGGCAGCCGTCATTTAAAACGTGCGCCGCGGCGTGGCTCGTGGTTGCGCCACCTGGTCGCTAATCTGACCCATCTTTCCAATGGAGCGAGGTGACATGAAGGCGGCTCGGCTGCGGCGGCGGCACTTGAACCACCACCACCTCCACCGCAGCCCCCGTGCGGGCACATGCCGCCGCCATAGGGGACCCCCAGCTGGCACCACAGCCCGCGCAACACCGGTAGCCGCCCTCGGCACCCACTGATACCGAAAGTGTGACCCGCATCCGCACAAGCGCGCGCGCCTATCGTGTCATTCGCCCACGCGCGCACCCGCAGAGTCGTTTTCGCGTTTTCCCTTTCGCCCGCGGCCTCATAGAGGTGCGGGGCGGCGCGGCGCGGGGGACCGGTGCGAGCTTCGGGGAGGTGAGTCCCGGACTAGACCGCCTCCTCTCTCGTCGCAAATGAACACCCGGGGCCGCTGCTTATTGTTTCCTTATTCTTATGCTCCGTATGGAGCCTTTTGGTTGCGTCCGGGATGTTTCCCACACCCGGCGGCGATGGGCGCGGCGCGGGGGAGGCGCGGCCGCGGCTAGTGCTGCTGCTGCCGTTGGTGGTGGTTGTGGTGGTAGTGGTGGTGCTGCTGCTGCTGCTGCTGCTCCTGCTTATGTTCGCGGAACCGGACAACGACGCTCGCCCGCGCACCCGGCGCTCCGCCCTAAGTAAGTGTGCGGGCGGGGCGCGCGGGATTATATGGGAGATTTCGCAGAATATGTGAAATTTCCCGCTCCCCTTTCACTGGGGCTGCGCCGGGTGCTGCGAGCGGTGGCTGTCCGATCAGCTGAGCGCTGCGGCGCGCCGGCGCGTGAGAGGAGTCTCACAGCTGTGGTGGTGGTGGTGGTGTCAGCCCCGAGAGGGCGTGGCGTGGCGTAACGAGGCGGGGCGGGGCGGGGCGGAGGTGCTGCTGCGTGGCGTGGCGTGGCGTAACGAGGCGGGGCGGGGCGGGGCGGAGGTGCTGCTGTGACTATGCGCACGCACAGCGCGCGGGCTCAGCTAAAAGCTAACCGCAACAAGGCAAACTGGAGTAAGGCCTTAAACAGTTTTGTAGCAGATGAGGGGCGTGCGCGGCCGGCGGAGGCGGCGCGGCGGCTCGGCGCTGTGCGCGGCGTGCCGGCGGCGCTCCGGCCCGCGGAGCTCGGCTGCATTGTGGCGGCTGCTGGCGTTGTTAGCTCCCCGCCGACAAGCGCTCTCAATCAAGTACGGCCCCGGGGGCGCGGCGGGGCGCGGCGGGGCGCGGCGGGCAGGCGCCACAGCAGGCGGGCGAGGAGGCGAGGCCTCGTCAGTCTCCAGCTCCGGCTCCAGTCGCCCTGACGAGCCGAACTGGATTAGAGGCGGTGACCTGGCGTGTCCTGGTGCTGCTCCCCCGCAGTGCGTGCGGTGTGGTGGACGTGGACGGTGCGCGGTTGCGCCGTTCTGCTGGCTCATGAGAAAGCCCAGACCCCCAGGCTTTCACGATCGTCACGAACGTCACGATGTCGGGGATGTGGTGCAGGCTGCAGCGCAGGGCAGGGGTCGTGGCGGGCGTGGAGAGCGGCGCGGAGTCGCAAGGGCGAGGTAGGCCGCCCGGTCGACAGGCGTGCCTCGCCGGTGCCTACCTCGCTCCCGGCTGCTGGCACACCGCCCGTCCGCCCCGCCCCGCCCCGTATCGCCACGTCGGGCTCCCCTGTGACGCGCCAAACTTTTCGCCTGACGCCGGCGGCCGCCGTGAATGAGAATCAGCTTTATTTCTGCGACCTGAGTTCAGCAGAGTGGCTGCTTCGCGCGCTCGTACTTTTATTTATTTTTTCTTTTGGTCGCACGCGCACCCCGCTGCTGGCGCGCGCCCAGAAGCGACTCGGCTCGGCACCTCGCCTCCACATCCGGCGGGGGGCCGGCAGTCCCGTTTGCAATGCCCCGGGGGCACACCCCCGCTCCCGCCATGCGGACGTCTTCTGTTTCTGGCAACCCCGAATCCACCCTACCCTCCATATCGAAACCTCTCTGAATGGCTGACATAATTGTGAGCACATAAATGAGGGCCTTAATCGAAGTGCCTCTCTCTGACCGTCCGCTCAGCGGCGCCCAACCCCGCTTGCGCCCGTTGCGCCCGGCTGCCCGCACGGCAAGCCGGCACGGCCCCAGCCGGCCGGCCGTCCTCCTTTGGTTTCCTCCATCTCCACCGCCTGCTGCTCCTTCCCCTTCCCGCCGGACGCGCGGCTCCTGCTGTGTTTTGTTGACATCGACACCGACAACTCCGTCGAGGCCGAGGGGAGGACTGCTGCTGCTGCCGGCCGGCTCCCGGGCGTTGCGTGGTGGCCCCCCTCGCGCACCTCGCGGCAGCAACACAGTCCCTATTCAAATGCAAAGTACGAGCAAACGAAAGCGCGCCCGCGTCCTTTGGCGCCCAGGCGCGGCCCCCGCCTTTTGGGGTCTCCATGATAAGGTGTGCCGCTTTAACGCCACTTTCCTTGTCGCGGGCCTTGCCCGGCGTCGTCTTGCACACACGAGTGAGTGAGTCACTGCGTGAGCTGTCGGTCATGCACTTGCGTCCCGGCCGTACTGCTGCTGGTTGGTTAGCCGTCGGATCCCCGCTGGAACGGAATCTGGATCGGGTTTGAGCAACCGAAAGTAAGGATGTGCAGCTGCTCGCGACTGACGCTGCGCGGTGGCGGCTGCGGCTGGGTCCGCCGCGGCCAGGGCGGGGTGTGGCGGGGCGTCGCTACGCGGGGCGGGTTGACCTTGTGGGCGCGACGGGCGAGGGCCGCGCCAGGGCCGGGCCAGTGTCGGTTGAACCGTCGCCGCGTCGCGTTCGAGTGTTGGGTCGCGGGGTGCGTCGTGTTCCCCGATTGTTTTGTGGTGCCCGGGGACCCGGACCCCTCCTCGCTCTCGTGTCTGACGGTCACCTGGCTGGCCCATAAAAGGGCCGACCCTGGCGCCTGCTGGCTGTTGCGTGGGAGATAAGCGCTGTCAAGTGCAGCGGCCTCGCGGCCGGTGGCGGCCGTGCGAGCGTCTCCAAGGGCAAGGCTGACGACGCGACCAGTTCCTCCTCCTCCTGGCCGGCGGCACGCCCCGCCGCACCCCGCCACGCCCGTGACACAGTGGCGCGCTGACCAGGCCCGCCGGAGCGAGGCATACCCCGGTGTCGCCATGGCGTCCAGCCGACCACAGTACGTGACGGAGCCCGTGTTCGGTGTTCCGGCCGGACGATGGCCTCTGTCGGCGGCCGATGAGACGCTTTGCCGTCGTGCACCAAAAACCCTTTTCTTTGCGGTGTCTCGGGATTTGGCAACCGTCGTCCGACGCCCGATACTCTGATCCGCGAGGCGCCGGCCGGGCCGGGCCGATCTCGAGTGTTTTTGTGTTCATTGGACGGTGATAAAGGACTGCGCCAACGCGTCGCGCTTTATCTGCAACTCAATAACAACGTCCATGCTGGCCGGCCGCGAGCCTTAGCAATAAGGGCCTTGTGGACCTGGCGGGTCTGGCCACCGTCGAGTGTTCAATGGTGGCGGCCAGACCCGCGGCCGAGCGGTACTTCACTGTAAAGTCTAGCATGCTATTTTTTAGCAGGTGATACCTTAAAAACCTTTTGACTAAACATAAAGAATATATAAGTAACTTTAAGGTGTCAGCTTGCTTTTACTCTCGATAAGGGCAGGGAACCAAGCGGAGACCAGAAAACAATTTATTTGGCGCTAGGGGAATCAGTGAGTGGCTGGCTGTCCGAGGGTCGCTTCAGGCCCCTTCCCAACAACACTGTAAAACGAGGAGTGACCTTTCTTTCCCGAATAGAGCGACGTATAGGCGTCATCGCTCTGTTAGAGCGATTTTTGCGATCAATGACTCAACATGAGTCTTCTTCGCAACAGAAAATGTCGCAGAGACGACCCTAAACGAGCGACGTTTGCGAAAATGACTCAAAATTAGTCTTATTCGTAACCAAAAATGTCGCGAAAAGTTATTGCAAACGAGCGATGTAATTAATATCGCTCTCCCAAGAGTCGTCAAATTGGCTTCACTGCACCCAGAGAAATGATTAGCAACGGCAACCATCTGATGGTCGGCTCAGGGAGCACCATAAAATATGGTTGAGACAACAGTTATAACGTGATGAAAACCATATTTCTGGTTCTCACTACCACGGTAAGGTTGCATCAACCATATTTTATGGTGCTCCCTGAGCCAACCATATGATGGTTGCCATTGCTAATCATTTCTCTGGGTGTGATATCGCTCTCCTGGGAGCGAAAAAGGTCACTCCTTTACTTGTAGTGAATACTGCGTGAGGAAGCAGGCCCCGTCCCTGTACAACAATACTAGGCCAACGACGCCAGCCGCTCTGCTCTGCCCCGTCCGTATCTCATCAACGCCGCTAGTACGCCGAATTACAAAATTGCGAGTAATAATTAACAAGCAGCCATAAACAAATGACACCTGAATATAAGAGAAAAGTAGAAGACAGACCTATTCTTAAATTTGTATCATCTGCTTTCAAGATAGATTCTTGATTT